AATTTGACCCATTTACCCAAGTTATTGTAAGAAAAAATATAAATATATTTATCAGTAACTACAAACCCTAACCGTAACTCTATAGTAAGTACAAGTAATTCATTATTATTACTCAGTTCTTATTCGTGTAAGTACAATGTAACAATCACTGCATTTAAACATGGCCCAAAATTTAGTGCCTCTTTTCACTGACCAATTGGTGAAGAAAGAAAAAGTTCAGACCAGGCTCTGTACTGTATTCATGTAAAGTCCAACAAGCATTATTTTTCAGATTGTTATGAAGTTACAAAAAAACATGTTGTGCACAACAGATGCTCTAAGAATAGCATATGACAAAATAAACTAGCTGGAATTCCAGACGACCAAAAGCAAGTATAAACAAAAGAACATCAATCTAACAGGATAAATCTTCAGATTCAAAACATGGTCAGTCTGCCATAATCCGACTTAAATATCTGATGACAAAAAACAGCCTATTTGCCTCTAAGACACAACATGAGCAGTTCATGAGCTGGTCGACATCAAGAGGGAAACCAGATGGAGACAATTTCACCATAAGGTCTCTTTTAATCTTAGGACAGAACCACAAGACTCTGGATGGTGGTAAAAAGCAAAAGGGGCTCAAGGAGTTTGTAACAGCCACCACGTTATAATTTTGTTGTCTTGTTATGTTACTTAATATAGATCGCTACCTATAAAAAGTAACCCAGAATTATTCTTGTTATGACAAAGCATCCCCTCGATCTAAAATAGTGTGCCAAACAGATTGTTTCCACTGTCACAGACCAGATGGAGGGTTTATGAAGACTGCTGGCTATTGTTTATGTGCAAGTAACCTGGACGTTTCTGCATGTATTCCATTTGTTTGAGTCACTACCAGGTTTAAAAAAAATAAAAAATTAGATGCCCAGAGAAATTAAATGTCCATCATTCAAAAATGAATACAAATGTACCGACCCTTGTCTGTTTGATTATTAAATTATTCTGGCTAATCTGAGTATTCTTCTCAGCTGCATTACAACATTTACTATATTAAAGGATTAGTTCACTTCAGAATTAAAATTTCCTGATAATTTACTCACCCCCACGTCATCCAAGATGTTCATGTCTTTCTATCTTCAGTCGAAAAGAAATTAAGGTTTTTGAGGAAAACATTCCAGGATTTTTCTCCATATAATGGACTTCAATGGTTATTAAAGGGCTAAAGGTCCAAATTGCAGTTTCAATGCAGCTTCAAAGTCTCTACACGATCCCAGCCGAGGAATAAGGGTCTTATCTAGCGAAACGATCAGTCATTTAAAAAAATAAATAATTATATATATATACTTTTTAACCACAAATGCTCATCTTGCACTAGCTCTGCGATATTACCTAATCACGTTGAAAGGTCATGCGTGACATAGGCGGAAGTACAGGCCTAGTGTTAACAAAGCGAACGTGCAAAGACTAAGTCAAATGCCATTAAAAATAAAAAAATAAATAAAAGGGTAAAACAACGATGTCGGACGATTTTAAAGTTGGAGGAGAAAAGGATTTCTGGGGAAAATGGAAAATGTTTTTGAACTGGAACACACCTGACCTTTCAACATGATTACGTAATGTGTGGCGCATCGCAGAGCTAGTGCAAGACGAGCATTTGTGGTTAAAAAGTATATACATGTTTGTTTGTTTTTTTTAGAAAATAAATTTAGCTAGATAAGACCCTTATTCCTCGGCTGGGATCGTGTAGAGCCTTTGAAGCTGCATTGAAACTGCAATTTGGACCTTCAAACCGTTGAAGTCCACTATATGGAGAAAAATCCTGCAATGTTTTCCTCAAAAACCTTCATTTCTTTTCGACTGAAGATAGAAAAACATTAACATCTTGGATTACGTGAGGGTGAATTTGAATTCTGAAGGGAGCTAATCCTTTAAATCCATTTTGTAGAATTCCATATGTTTTCCCAGAAAGTTAGTATGAAAATTAAAGTAAAGTGATGGATAAGGAAATGTGGAGTGATCCGCACCATCTCTGTACTGTAGTCTGCGTGGTTGGCTTTGGACGGGGGTGCCGCGTCTCCTGCAGGCTCCCAGCACCAGCTCTCTGACGGACAGGAACAAAGATATCCAGGAGGGCTAAAAGACAATAGACAAATTAGATATTTAAAGGTGCAGTAAGCAATTTCTGAGAAACACTGTTGATATTTGAAATCGACTCCCAAAAAACACACCCCTCCCTTCATAACAAACATGCTAACAACACAGGTAACCATGTATGTCGACAGCATGAGCAAGTATGGATGAATCAGCTGTGATTCAACAACAACAGCATATCTTCCTTGAAACAGCAAAAAAACTAAACAATGTTACTCGCATATCGAGCAGAAACAACTGTTTTCTGGTCCTAAAGCTCTTGCCTGATCATATCCCTTCTTTTTCTAAACTTCCTCTGGCCCTTTCCTCATTGGTAATATCTCAGCCATCTCTCTATTTAGTCTTTCTTCTAATCTCCCTCTTGCTCACTATCTCTCCTCCCCCATCATGAGTGGACACGCCCCTTATTGCTGATTGGCTACAAGAGTGTTTTGGTGTTCCGTGGATCAGTCTGATCCACTTTGTTTTTCTTCTCCCATTTAATCAGCCAGGACTATGTACAAATATATATATATTTTTCAGTACATGCAAAACAGACGTCTAGCAAATATTCACAAAATTGTTTGATTAGGTGCTGATTTTAACTTTCAACAGCGTTTATCAGAAATCGCTTACTGCACCTTTAATGCATAATGCTAAGGGTGCTCCGATTGATCGGTCGCCGATCATAATCGGCCGATAATTGCTTTGGGATGTGTGATCGGCGGTCTCTATAAAGGCCGATCCAGAAAAGCCGATCAGATGACGCAAAACTCGCGAGACAATTTTTTTACTGGTAAAAATAGCTTCACCGGTCTGGCAATTCTATTCTACAACAGGGCTCTCAAGTGTCAAGCATTGAGCGTGACAGTCACTCATTTCGGTCTTTTGTCACGCTCTCCCGCCACACATTGTATTTTTCACGCTGAAAAACTATTTGTAATATATATTTAATATGCCGCAGCGGCCAAAACTCTGGCCGCGCCGCTCTCACTGTGGAACCGGCATGAATCAAGCGCGTTTCCTCTGGTGTTGTTCGTCGAGCTACACAATAGCCAATCAGAAAATAGCACTATTTGTATCTGGGTAAGATTTAAAGCAACAACCAATGACAAAAATGTATCCAACCCCCGTGCGTCCGTCAAATCACTCGTACATATTTTCTCTCATCAAAACTGAATATGTTCATCAGCGGTTACAGTTATATCAAGCAAGGATACGTTTGTGTTTTATTTTGTGATTACACCAGAATGAATAGAGTCCGCAACGGCGATAGATTGAAGCGCGCGTCCGAGTGAAGCCTGCGCGAGACACAGAGCACTGTATCCATGCAACTGATCGCCGCGGCAACGAGCGCGCAGCTTGAGTTCAAAAACACATTTTAGCGCTAGATTTCTTATTTAATAGCGAACTAAATGAATGATCTGCTAGTTAACTGAAGATGTTTTATTTATTTATATTAGGTACATGGTGGGACAGACTTCACTGGATCTAAAAAAATCAATCTAAACATAGATGTGACCAGTAGTGGTGGCTTTCTTAATCTGTTTAAAATAATTTTGCAAGGGTTCTTCACACACACACACACACACACACACACACACACACACACACACACACACACACACACACACACACACACACACACACACACACACAAGGTTTGTCTACCTCTCTCTTCCTCTCTAAATGCCCACAAAATCTGACGAAGCATCCCAGAAAAAAGCAAAGTTATAGATACAGATATGGAAGTTGTTATTTTTTTTATTTTATTTTGTTGTTGTTGTTGCTGTGCACTTTACTACCTGTGGTCCTTTAAGTGTATTAGAAAAACTGATGGCTGACTGACTCTAAACTAAAAACAGCAACAAAAAAAGGCTATAGTCAAAATAATGTTTAAAGTAGTCTAAAGCTAAATTTAAAGACTCAGATGTTCTGTCTTTTATTCATTTTATTTTATATTCTACAGGAAAGTTGTATGTCAAGCCCTAAGCTGCTCCCAATAACCAAGCTGCTATGTTAATACATGTTACTTGCAAATAAATACACAGGTGTCAATTCATTATGCATTGTCTTCTCTTAAATGTAATACTTAATTGTACATTGTTGTTAAATATAGTTTAATAAGTAATGCTACATGATAAAAAGAAGTCTTCAAATAGACCCTGTAATCGGTGATCGGTATCGGTATCGGTATCGGGTGATACAGCTTCCAGTAATCGGCGATCGGTGATCGGCCCCAAAAATCCTGATCGGAGCACCCCTACATAATGCATACACAATAAACTAAAAAATCTCAATCCAACATATGTATCTATAATTGATCAAATCCATAGATATTTGAACGCTCATATTTTGAACAATGTATGAGTGTCATACCTAATGGCATTCATTTAAAAAAAAGAAAAGTCCTGCAATATTTGTTTGCAAATGTCACTTGGTTTGATGGGTTTTTTTTTAGACATTCAAGGTGATAAAGGACTGTCAAAGGGTGTGTCTCAATCAGCTCCCTAGTTCAGTAGTAAGGACACTAATCAGGGAGTCAGCCATTTTAAGGGCCGTCTCAATTGCAAAATCTTTCCAATGCACCGAAACATTCACTCCCTAAAAAGTCCCAAAATGCACTGTGAAAAAAGGACCAATGATGGTCACTGTGTTTCCTTAACAAAAGTTCTGAAGCACGAAACAAATCGTGCGAGCCATCTCGATACAACTCTAAATAAAAGAAACCTAAGTTTAATTGAATTGAAATACATTTTAGCATAAAGATACATTGCCAGACAGGTAATGAACAAAACATTTTAGAATTAAATTACGGCTGAAATGTTGCAGGTATAAAAAAATCAGACCAGAAAAATATCAGTTCTGCTGTTGTTCATAAATATCAGTAGTGACGTTGACAATGAACCTGTTGTCGTGTCACCATCAGTGTCCCAATGTTTAGTGATCCTTGCTGTCCTAACCAGAGCCTGAATTTGTGTACATGATATACCGGTTCACGATTCATTGAGACGCACACTTTTTTTTGTACGGAGACCTCCATGAAGACAAGAGGTGACCATGCACAGTCTGAGTTAGTTCCTGACTGCATTTATAATTACAAACCCATGTTTACATGTGTGGGTCAAACAATTATTTGGACGTTTTGGTCCCTTGGCTCCGGAAAAAACATTACAGAAATCAAAAACAAAAGAGATTCTGTAACTGTTTTGCAGTAAACCAAAGACATGTAAACAAAAGTTAAACAAAATCCAGTAAACAAAATATGTGTGGGCCATACAATGAACTGATTTTCATTTGTCCTGATTTTCAGCATGTTAATAGGCCTCGGTAGAGCTGCATATTCCACCATGACAACATATAAAAAAAACAAATAAAAAAAAGGATCATGCTATAGGTCCTGTTTACATTTGATATAAGTTGTCAGGGCTAAAAACATTTTGTGATTTGATCAATCAAACCACATTTGAAGATCCGACCACACTGCATTTGTAGTGGAAATACCAATCCGTTCAGATGCATCCAAGCCAACAGTAAAAGGCCGCCCACTCACCTGTCAATCAAACATTTTGCTAAAACAAGGATTCTGTGTGGCTGGTTATGCGTGGCTTTGAAATGTCATGTTTGTGGTGAGATTGAAATGTAAGTATCCGTCTCAACTGACCTCTTGTGATCGGATCATCCAAGCCGGATGTTAATACCAAGTGTAAACAGGGCCAATGGCATTTTCCTGTACTTACATTGCCTTCGAGAAGCTCTTCTTTTGGACTGCCTGAGTGGGCTTGCAGATACTTTGAATGGAAGAGCAGGCCGTCAAAGGTCTTCCACGGCATGAGCTCACCCATTGGGAAAGGGAAACCACATGCACTGTTGGCTGCGATGAGGTAGGTCAGACCGCGCACAAAGAGAGAGCCGAGCTGGACGGCCCTAGGGTCTACAACAGGGGTCTGCATGGGGGAGGGATTATAGCATGGTAAAAGAAATAAAGTACAAAAACACAATAGTTTGCAAAGGAGCGGTCACATTTACTGTTGCTCTGTGAAATTATGCAAACAAAACCCAGTCATGTCAATAGGAATCTGCAACGAGAGTTTTGGTGAGGGCAAAATATTTTCCTACATAGATTTTGATGATGTAGAAGTTGGTCGCGCACATTTGCTGTGTTGAACACGTCCTAAAAAGTGACGGCAAAACATTTTGATCGCCCCATGGTGGCTGGCTGCAGTATTGGTCATAAACCCCGCCTCTTCATGTAATCCCATATGACGTAAGCCAAACTAAAAAATCCAATTGCAAATCATTTTAATGGTTTCTGTCAATTTAGATAGTTTTTATCAAAGCTAATTTTAGTTAGTTATTCGATGCTATAAAAATTGGGTGTAGCATCATGATTGACAGCTGTGCTTGCGATTGAGTTTTGGCGGAGCACTAATGCACAGACTCGGGACCCGAATGACGTAATCGGAGCAAGATGACAATGGCAATTCCTGGGACATTTTGGCTTCATTATTCTACAGTGGAAGGAAGTGGAGACACGTCGGCCATCTTTTTTACAGTCTATGGTGTTGACTAAGGGGCTATTTATTTACACAACAGCGTTTTCAACTAAAAACGGAAGATTTTGGCCGTTCATTTACACGTTAACGCCATTTTGGTGGCCCGAAAAACGCGAACTTTTGAAAACGGGTTTCAAAGTGCAAAGTTTTTGAAACCGACACCCTTATTATCTCCGTGTGAACTACAAAATCGTGAATCTGTGAAAATGGTGACGTCATGCACATGGGTATCAGCTTTTTTTTGTGTTGCAAATGAAAGGATACATATATTAACAGTAAGAAATAGGGGGGGGGGGGGGGTTTATGAGAATTACACAAATCAACACAATATAACATTTTGTCATAATGAAAAATTAAAGGTTCCTTACAACAGACTCTTGTGCCTTTTGACATTTTCTTAAATGATGTAAAAAGAGACTTTATATTAATTAATTAATTCACTCTATCAGAGGAGAACATGATAAAAATGGGATTACAGTGAATGTTTCTGGCTTTGTAAACATGAAATTTACCCAGAAGAAATAGTAATAATACAGTATTATTAAGATTAACATCCACAACAAAATGATAGATTATGTCATTTGTCTATAGGCATGAGCGTTCGGCTCGAGTGCACCGTAGTAAAATAATGTGCAGGCGTGTAGTCTTTCATTACGAAGTGACATCGCCAACTACTTGTCTGTCATGCATAATAGTGTTATTCGTCATTTTCGCGGATTAGTATGAACGGGGATCGTTTTGATAACATTGCCATCTGTACAAAGAAAGAACTTTTCCGTTTTTAGTATATCGTTGTCGTGTAAACATAGCCTAAGGGTGCTTTCACACTGAAGTTTAGTTCGAAAGTGACTTTTCAAGCATCGCTATACTATTGCAGGATTAATCAAAATAAAACTGGAATAGCAATATGACTTAAATTGCAAATGCTACAATTAAATTAAATTAAATAAATTCATGTGCTGCGTGTTTCAGAGTAAAGCCCGGATCATAAACAGCATAAACGGGGCATCCACCGCTTTTTGCAGAAAATGCTCCTCCACACAAACTCCATCTCTGCATCTGCTTTGAGTATGGGACACTTATAACATGCATTTGGGAAAGCAACATGCGCCAACCATCTTCCCATACTTGCAATGATAAGCGATTGTTAACAGAAGAGAAGCTTAAAGGGCTTATCGCGGTTTTCTGTCAAAATAAAAGTTTGATGGTTTAACGTTTTTAAGACAGCCAGAAATGTTACAGTTGGATTGTAAAATAAAATAATATTATCTTAAATACTTTTTTATTTTACAGTGAAATATTACAATACAAATATTTAGCATTTTTTATATTTTAATTTTGAATTTATTAATTTATTTTAAATTATTATTATTATTGTTATTTTATAGTCATACTGATATCTAATCACAACATTTTAGCCTAACTGTACAGCCCTACAAACAAGCACAGCAAACCTTCATTTTTTTTTATTGCCATTAGATTTCCTCCCAAAACTGTGCATTCCTAGCCATCCCTGAGGTTGTGTGGAAAAGAGCACCTGGAACATTATGCTAAACCTCTCCTTTTATGTTTGAAGAACGTAAGAAAATCATACAAGTTGGAAACAAGGCAAGTTAAAGATTACAGAATGTTTATTTTTAGTTGAACTGTTCCTTTAAATGACAGCACTTGCACAGTAACTTGGTTTCAAATTCATCGTGCTGTTATTACCTATTGTGTGTTTCAACTGGGGGTGGTGATGGCGCAGTGGATAAGACACATGCCTTTGGTGTGAGAGACCAGGGTTCGAATCCACTGCGAGACACCAATGTGTCCCTGAGCAAGACACTTAACCCCTAGTTGCTCCAGAGGCGTGCGACCTCTGACATATATAGCAATTGTAAGTCGCTTTGGATAAAAGCGTCAGCTAAATGTAAATGTAAAAAATGTCAAACTGGAGGGAGGCAGGGTGTGACCCGTAGAGCTCACCTGAAGTGGCCGTGTGGATAAGGGGATGTTTACAAAGGGCCCCCCCCCCCACCACCACCACCAGACTGTCCGCTGGTCACCTGGTCCCCCACCCACAGGAGATAAGAGAGGGGCTGATTAGCTTTCGTGACATGAAAATGTGAAATTGGCTTGCCACCTGCTCCGCTCTCAAACACAGCTCAGACTAAAGCAAACAAAGGGGAGCCTGGAGATAAAGCCGAAGTGACAGCAGCAACCCACTGCCCAAGCCTTCCAGCCGCACAGATTGAGAGCCAGGCCGCCGTTTGAAATATTACGCTGTTTACTCTGGCCTGACTTCCTCTTTGAAACCATGCCTCTTCAGTAAAATGAGAGCATTTAATCACATTCACTGTTATGCATAAGGTTTAGAGAGTGGGATGAAGTAGACCGGCTTTGATTAAACCGCTTAAAAAGACACGTAAAAGTCTTAGCACCTTTAAAGCCACTAATTGCTCAGCGTGGAAGTCAATAGGCCCCGGGACAAAGCTGATGCCACCCTGCTGCTGTAAAGGTATAGAGAGGGACAACAAACCAGAACAGCAGCTGCTCTGCAAGCATTTCAGCAGTGAACAATGAGAGCTGCTCCAGATGCCCGAAGGACCGCTGGACCCCCTGAGGACACGCAGATCAACATTAATAGCAAACTACAGCCTTGTGTCAGGCTCCGCACCTGTGCCATACCTTAATGCACATCTGCTCAATGTTACTACTGTAAACATGAATGCATGACAAGACAAGGCTTGTCTGAATCTTGTGTGATATTTGAATGAACTTTCGATTTTAGATTTACTAAATAAACATGGTGGGCTGTAAAACCAGGCTTGTTCAGTTAAAGGGTTGAGAGTCAAGAACTGGCTCTGTTTAAAAAAAAAAAAAAAAGAAGCGAAAAATGGATGTTTGGTTCTGTTAATGGTTTTTAAATCCACCAGTGCACCAAATTCAGATCACCTCAAGCACAATGCAAAAGATTTGCTTTAGTTGTTTTTTTAATCATAAGGAATTTAATGTTTCTGAACTGCATCTTTTTGACTCGTAAGAGTCATTTGTTCACGAGTTGAACTACTACTGTGTTTCTTGTTGTGGAACCGTTAATGGAACTGGACGCCATGAGTGTTTCTGAACTGGTTCTTAAACCAGTTTAACTGATCAAAAAGTCTTAAATTCATGCATTGTCAGTATGAATCAGTTTGAATCAATGACAATTACTGTTGTAATAAATGACAACAAATTATATATATATATATATATAGCACTACCGTTTAAGATTTTGGGGTTGGTAAGAATTTTTTTTTTTTGTAATTATTATTATTTTAATTTTATGTCTCCTATGCTCACCAAGGTTGAATTTATTTGATCAATATTGTGAAATAGTATTAAAATTTAAAATAACTTTTTTATTTGAATATCATTACTCCAGTCTTCAGTGTCACATGATCCTTCAGAGTTCATTCTAATATGATGATTTGCTGCTCAAGAAACATTTCTCAATATCATCAATGAAACAATGAAAACAGTTGCGCAGCTTAATATTTTTGTGGAAACTGAGATACACTTTTTCAGGATTCTTTGATGAACAAAGTTCAAAACAATAGCTTTTATTTAAATTAGTAAAAAAAAGTTAATTTAATGCTTCCTTGCTGAATAAAAGTATTAATTTGTTTCAAACTATATATAATAATATATATATTGCTCCTCAAAATGTTTGAACCTGAATCAAGTGAATCAGAATCATTTTTGCTAAATTCCTTATGATTCTCGTCAATAACATATGCAATGCAGTGGCATCCTTAGCTTGCATTTACATTCCCTTACTACGACAAAGCAGCACAGGGGGAAACTGATTAGACGGGGGTAATCAGGATGCCCCTGGAGACTCTCTTGCCATCTGTCTGGCTCTTCTGCCTCCTAATACCCCCCTCCCCCCCAGCCCTTTTCACATTTCAGGCAGATGTGACGGTGTAACTCCCAATGGGAGACAACAATGGTGCATGTAACAGGTGCTCCCACCACCCCATGGCAGAAGAGCTTTACACACTTTCATCTGGCCAGCGGCAGGCTGTCGCCACTGTGCCTTGAACACACACGCATCTCTGGGTCAGCCAGCAATCCAACACCTGTTGCCGTGCACGCCTTCTAAACACACAATCCTTCAACACTATCATTCATCACCTAACATATTGTGGGCAACATAAACTGAGCCATATCACTTCACTTGAGCCAAAACATAAACACGCGGGACCATATACAAATAAATAGCGCAGCCAAGTTCACAATAAACAACAATTACGGGGCATAAAAGATACAGAGCCAGTCATTGTCTACAGGGGTGATTGAAATTCTTTGCTTTGGAACCACATTAGCAAACATAATTAAACATAGGATCTGTAAAAATACAGATTTGTTTAATTGTATTTAAAATATAAATACAACTTAACAGTTCATTTGTATTGTCAACAGCTTGACGTTTTATGAGTCAAGGGTGAGATATGCATCAGCATCTGAATACAACAGACTGGAGGGATTCACACCAGACGCAAAAAGGACAGCCGTAGACACAGGAGGATCCGTAAATTAGGAGGTGGCTTCTTGGATATCTCCCAAGAGGCTCTAAGTTGGCCCTCTATCATCCATTATCTGTGCTGTGGGGAGGGCTCTCAATCCAAGCACTGCAAAACCACAGGCCGCCCTTGGCCGTGTCTGAAATAGCACGGATAGGAGGCTTAAATTAGGGTGGGAGCTAAAATAGACCTGTGGTCGCCGGCGGGGACGACGCGGAGCCCGTCACCAGAGCATCACTCTCAGGTTCAGACCACAATTAGAGTCGTTTTTGGGAGGAATGTCGCAAAGCAACCAGAAATTATCCCTCCAGTCTCTTTCACCATTTTTTTTTTTTTCCAAATAGCAAAATAATCTGATACATCCTTTAAGAAAATCCATGATTTGTTGCAACTTCATGTCGCTGTGCCATTTTGACATGGAGAAACAGAGTTTGTTAGCACGTTTAAGTCATAACTAATGTGATCAGCAACACATGAAAGTAGGGACGCACCGCAAAGAAAATTATGGGCCGAAACCAAAAGTTCTGGATGCTCTGACCAAAAACCGAAACTGAAAATGCTTTTTAATTTATTTCTTATTTAGAAATTATCTTGTGTATTTGAACATTTTGGGGGTGAGATCAAATACACTAATTACAAGCATAAATACAGTATAACAAAGTTACAAATAAAGTAGGGTCTAACTGTAGAGTATTCAGGTCCAGAGATTTAATAATTAGGCCTAAATGTAAAATGAAACTTGTGTTCACTGTACAAATTAAATATAGATTATTATTTGTTAAAGCTGTGGTTTGTTTGTTTGATTAACATTAATGACTTAGCAGCAGGTATTTATAGGATGCTGTCACTTTAAGACCGAATGCACGGATCCAATATAATGATACACATCTGATTTCTTTCTCAACTCTTTATGTTCACTTAAGACTTAACCGACTGTGTTTACAAGAATACTTGCAGAAACGGGTATTTTGACATAATTTTGTGTGTATATTTTCGGCCAAAAACTGAAAATGCCATTTTCGGCCAATCATTTTCCGCAGCCGAAATATCCATACTTGAAAGTTCACATAAAACCATTGCTTAATATTCCAATGTTGAAGAGTTCACCCAAAAATGAATATTCCTTCATCATTTACTCACCCTCATGTTGTTCAAACCTGTATGACTTTCTTTTTTCGAACAGTCTCAATGCTTTTGTTGTCCATACAATGAAACTCAATGCTAATTTAAAGGGGCATTATGCAGAAATCCCGTTTTTGTCAAACAGCGACCCCTAGAGTTACTGTGGAGTACTTGAATTTAACGTTACTGTCGTAAATACCACTCACTCAGAGCGTGACATGCCTGTTACATAGTATACAATAGTACATTGTGTTTAATTTGTCGTTTAATGAGATATAATATATGTTGTTAGTGGTGAGAATTTTCACGTGATTAAATACATAGATCCGACAATTTTAATGGTCCAGAGGCAGAACTTTTGCCAAGTGTGTTAGAGGTTCTGGGTTCTAATCGGTACTAGCTAGTAGTATAGTTTATTTTCCTCATCAAACCCGATTGTTTATTAGTGGTTGTATTTCAAGCAGGGACATATTTTTTGTGCATTAGGTTTTGTGATTTCACCATAACAAAATATAGAGAGTCTCTCAGTCCCCGCAACGGATTCAGGCGCGCGTCACAACAGAACACTTATCTGCACCACTGATCGCAGAGGCAACGAGCACTTTGGTCACTTGATTTCAAAAATAACACATTTCAGATCGCCTCTTATTTAACAAACGAACGAAATGAATGCTCTACTAGAGTTACCTGGAGATGTTTTATTTGTTTGTAATGGTAACGTTACATCCGTGCCGCGAGAAGTTTCAATGGGGACATAGCACACCCGCAAATTATGCCTATGCTCGTGTCCGACTCCTCGCTCGGTCAGTCTGCCGTTTCCTCTTTCTCTGTTCCTCCGACAATGCTTTCTGCATCTTATATGCCGGCTCAGCCATGACGATAGTGTGACAAACTCCATCCATCTATACCTTGTTCCTGTGTGTATGTGTGCAGTTGCCGTAAAGGAATATGTTACATCGCGAGAGCTGATATCACGTGATACTTCCTGACGCGGCCCGCCGCACCGAAGTTGCAAGTGAGATTTTTTCGCTCACAGGCACCAGGGGGGGTCGAGACGCCCACCATTCAACCCGAAATAAGTTATATAACCATTTCAATAACTCTGAAGCTGTTCAGTTAAGCTAAAAAAGCTGCATAGTGTCCCTTTAATTAACAGGAAACAAATAAATAATGCATATTTTTTATTTTCAGGTAAACTATCCCGCTGGAATTCCCCTGGTGGAATGATCCCAATCCTACTGGGACGGCCGTATCTCTCGCAGTTTTCAAGAAACGAAAAGCACTTAACTGCATTCTGCTGAGGCTGAGATTATTATTTAAAAACATTTCTTTTTCTTTCAGAAATCCCTTCCTGTTGTAGCCTTCAGCGCTTTGGACATTGTTTGAAACTTGGTATAGGGCCTTAATCAGGTTAGACGCCATATTGAATGTAACGTGGAAGAAAGCGAGGCTGTGAGGGATACATGGCCTTCACAATGTACTGTATTAAGATCCTAGATCACATGATATTCACAACTCACAACATTCAAAACTGCTTTATGGAGTTTTTATCTACTGGAAGTGTTTTTTTTTGAAAGATGGAAACAGTACAATGAAAGCACTGTACTTCTATCCCTCACAGCTACCCTGACTAAGGTCTATTGTTAGCACTTCTCATGATGTGAATGTGTGGTCAACAATAGCTAAATTTCACAGGCAAACAAATTGTCTATTGTAAATAGTGTAGCGCAGTTCACATAGGCCCTGTTTACCCCTGATATTAAGAAGCATTTCTGTCGATCCGATCACAAGTGGATGAAGTTAAATACAGGTGTAAACGGGGTCTAAAACGTTTTAAGCTTGTCCACTTTTCAACCACTTCCAGAGGTAGTCGAAAAGCATTTTCCGGATTGCTTTCGTAGTGTAAACACTCATGTGGACGAATGTGTTCAAACAGCCACAAAAGACTCTCCGCCTAGAGATCTAACTCTGGAGCACTAGCCAGATGGGATTTAAACTTTATCAGCTGGAGACCCAAGTTTGGTTTGAAGATGAAAACATACCAAGCACAATGTTCTCTCACCATTCCTGATTTCTAACACACACTCACAGTGTTCAGGTGGTCTTGCGGCTGTCAGAGCAGAAACTAAAGCTGCTGCTCTCCGTATAAAATAGCATGAGCTTATTTTCTCCAGTAGATCGAAAGATTACATTTACCCACACATAGACCATGCTCGAAGAGATCAGGATAGAAGTGGTTGAAAGTGGTTAAAACAACAGTAGTAAACCAGTATGTGTCTCCCTCATCTACTTGTGATCCGATCGGCTAAAATGCATCTGAATACCAGGTGTAAACAGGGCCATAGAAATCGCTTTCAAACTAAGCAGCTTTTTGTTGGTCAAAGTGGCGAATCCTGTTACGAAATCTAAGAAAAATCCTTCGCCATCACACAAAATTACAGATAATTGTGATTTCCCAATTAAAATGACTGGATTTCGACACAGAAAAGTTGCTGAACAACTGTGACTGCATCTTTACTGTCTCACTCACGGAAGCACAGAAAAGGTTTGGACCTAGTAATCGCACCAAATGTGAAACGGGCCAGTCTTTTTTCTTCTTTTTTTTCTCTATGTTACAAAATAACAAGCATGACCACAGTTGTTTTGTAAAAGACTCCAAACCAAGCCCAGTTATAATGGGTGAGCATGTGAGTGTAAAAACAATGTTTTTAGAAAAGCAGAGGTGGCTCAAATGACTCACCCTGAGCTGTTGCATTTCTGTGAAGGATTTGAATCTGACACAAACAGCTTGGCTCAGATATGCATCTACGTCTTCCAGAGAAAGCTGTCTCGTCTAGATCCAAGAGCAAACAGTGTTTTAATTCAAGTATACACAACAAGCATCAAGCGTCAACACAAACACATTTATACACAATGCAAGGGTATTGCAGTTGTCTGATAAGGGCTACACACAATAAACAGTGTTGAAGCGACCGCCACCGGTGAACTCTTTTGACATGCAATGAGTTCACATCATTAATAAATAAAGGCTAACAGAGCGTACGTGGAGCGAATGGACCCAAACAAAGCCATTTGTTTACATTCAAGTGAAAACCTCAGTGGTCCATGTGGCATCAACGATGAAAAGTTAAACACACCTGAATGGCAATGTAGGTTACAAGACAAATCACAGCAATCATAGGGCTGTCAAACTGCTTCAGCTCTTCAGTAAACTCATACAGGTCAAAGACATCCAGGAGTGTTGATTCTTGGATTGTTTTCACGTCTGGGTCTGTCCTAAACCACAGGGCCATCAGATCAGGGGGCCCTTCTGTTGATCACAAATTGACCACAAATTTAACTTGTGGGGGTTGGCGGGTATGAGAGTAAATTAATGATTGAATAACAGTTCTAATACAAGGGTTTCCATATATTTTGGCTAAGATTTTTTACAATCATTTGAAAAATGATTGCACTCACAAATCTAGCTGATGGATATTAGCTGAGCATAACTAGAAAACGTTTTTAAGAAATTACTCTTGCTGCATCCAAGATGGCATACTATACATTTGGTTTGAAAATTACTTCACAACCGTTTATAAAGTATGTTCTATGTGTGTATTATGAATTCAATTTGGAGGTACTACATTTGCCATTTTGTCATTGTCATGTGACCTACGGCGTCAATTTGCAGCTTCACTTCCATTCACAACTCCTCTCTAGTGGCCCCTCAGGGAGAGCAAAGTGTCCATCGTAAGCACACTTCAGTATCTCGCCAGAAGTAGTAGGTCTTCCTTGTACTTTTCTCCTGTTCGGACATACTACTCAGCTCACATACTGTTTTTCGAATACTATATAGTAGGGCATATTCGCACACAGTATCTGTCTTCTGCAGGCTTAGAAATCAACTTCAAAATTCCCTAATATTCCCAGGTTGGGAGCTCTGTAATGCAGTGATGAAATTTGCAGTGTGCGAAATACACCTATCAAACCAGATGATCTTTTTGTTTTTATCACATTTTGCTGTGTCGTTTAATCACTGATACGAGGAACACAAACAGGCAAACAAAGAGAATCGTGTACACTAACAACAGAACATAGATCTCTTGAGATTATCACAGGATTACTTAGCAGCATCAGACGAGGTAGTGTGTGATGATTAGCATGCGGGACAAAGTCCAAGGATCTTTGAGGTACTCTATCCCACGGTTTCACAGACAAGGCTTAAGATAGTCCCAGACTAAAATGCATGTTTGAGTTGTCTTATGCCTGGTTCAGATTACACGATTTTTTTTTGGTCTGTTAGGATAGTCACTGTGTCAGATTACGCGATTTTGATTCCTAAAATCTTGTCGTGGACAAGAAACATGTCAGACTACACGTTGCTTTCCGACCAGTCATCGTGTGCCGTCTCACTCACTCACTCACTCACTCACTCTCTCACTCTCTCACTCTCTCACTCTCTCACTCACTCACTCACTCACTCACACACTCACTCACTCACTCACTCTCGCTCACTCTCGCTCGCTCACTCACTCACACACTCACTCACTCACACACTCACTCACTCTCTCACTCTCTCACTCTCTCACTCTCTCACTCTCTCACTCACTCACTCACTCACTCACTCACTCACTCACACACTCACTCACTCACTCACTCACTCACTCTCGCTCACTCTCGCTCGCTCACTCACTCACGCTCACTCACTCACACACTCACTCACTCACTCACTCACTCACGCTCACTCACTCACACACTCACACACTCACTCACTCACGCTCACTCACACACTCACTCACGCTCACTCGCACTCACGCTCACTCACTCACACACTCACTCACTCACGCTCACTCACACACTCACTCACGCTCACTCGCACTCTCGGTCACTCACTCACTTACACTCACTCACTCACTCTCGCTCACTCACTCACACACACACTCACGCTCACTCACACACTCACTCACGCTCACTCACACACTCACTCTCGCTCACTCACGCAAACTCACTCACGCACACACACTCACGCTCACTCACTCACTCACACGCACACACTCACTCACTCGCTCGCTCACTCACTCACTCACTCGCACACACCCACTCGCACACACTCACACACACTCACTCGCACACACTCACTCACTCACGACGGAACCCGTTGTGGAGGACCGACATTTTTTTTAATCATGCAAATCTTTTTATCGTGATGTCGATCTGAACCAGGCATTAAGTAAAAGCAACTTGCACTGACAAATCTTAAATATGTCAGTTCCATTGCTTTGTCTCGAGATACACATCAGTAATGTGTTTTTCTAAGGCATTTTTTTTCACATGTTTTTAAAAAAACTACTTAAATGTCCTAATTGAACTAAGGCTGAATCCTGGCTTAATCTAAGCCCTGTCTGTGAAACCGGGCCTATGTGAGGTACTTCATTATACAACAAGTGTATATATGAAACATAACTACTGAATTATGTACTTGTATAGTTGAGGGGTTTTGGAGTGACTCTGGTAGGCTCCTGAAGTGGATTTCCTGGGAAAACGAACCATTCCTTGACTGACACAGTGTGACCGTAACAATCTATAAAAGAGAGAGAAAAGTTCACGTAAATTGAGGGCAAAAATAATGCAAGAAAAAAACATCTTGAAAGCATCTTAAAGTCCTTTAAAAATTGGCACACAAAGGGAATTTGTGCAATCAGCTTGTATGTTATGAAATAATATGACTGACAGAGCCTTTCCAAAATTACAGTGTAGTCCTCACAGTTTGAAATCTGATATGTTTTGTCCCCTTTGGTCTGGCCCTTCTTTTCAACAGCACATTCACCACATATTTGCCAACACCACAAATATTGGACAGACATGAGACAATTCCCAGAATCTTATAGAGCAATGGAGATTTATTTTCTGTAAACAACAGAGTAAGAGTACAACCTATATTTCTATACTTCAACAAAACATCAAGATGTTAAGAAAGAAAAAACACAAATAATATTTCAATTAAAATAATATTTTTTAGATTACTACATAAAAAAACTTCAGTCCAACAGTCTAGATTTCTTCAAAATTTTACAAAAAAAGAATACTTTACTTTGAACAAGGAATCAAAATGACAAAAATTATTTAAAAAATATTATTTACAAGTCAAAACTAATTTGAACAACATTTACTGACCAAATAATGTTTCTATTTAATTTCCATGACTTCTAAAGATTTAAACTTTTTCACGCTTAGAAATTAAAATTCTCATATTTCCAAGTTTTCCATGACGCTGGAAACCAGTGTTATTTTAGAATTATTTAAATACTTTTATAGTATTTATTTATATTTTGAATTAGCTTTAATTTTTATATTTTTATTTTTAATTTTAAATAATTCTATAGCTTATGTTTTTGTAATTTTATGGATTGTCATTTTTTTACCCTTTTTTTAACGAATAGGCAACAGAGGGTTAGGGTTAATGGGGTTTTATCGGATATAGTAAATATTAACACAGGTACACCACAAGGATCCGATTTTGTTTATATTGTATACAAATGGTTGTCAGAGTTCACAAGATAAGGTAAAATATGCAGACGACACTGTGTTGCTTTCTTTGCTTTCACATTCAGATCAGGAACATGTTTCGGTTTTCTACATTTTATTTCTTGGTGTAGTAGTATGAAACTAGATCTAAATGTGTCAAAAACTAAAGAGATGATCGTTCGTTTTAGTAGGAGAACACTGGCACTTCCACCTGTGGTCATTAATGTTTTTGATAACAGGTTAAAGTTCGACCAAAATTCTGAAGCAATTATTAAAAAGTCACACCAAAGAGTGTTTGTGCTGAGGAAGCTTAATTCTTTCAATTTACAGAGAGTTGTTCTCAGGTCATTTTACAATTCGTTTGTTGAAAGTATCTTGTCTTTCTCGTTTATTTGTTGGTTTTCATCACCGTCTACAAAGCACAAAAATCGTTTGCAGGGTATTGTTAACATGTGCTCTAAAATTATGGGTGTTTTGCATCTTATTATGACCAGCAAATGTTGAGGATGGCTCACGAAGTAATAGGAGACAGCACACACCCGTTGCACTCGGACTCTGAGTGGACGCCCCTGGACAATCAGATGTTCTACAAATTGCTATAAATTTATTTTTGTGCCTGAAGCAATCCGTTTATGTAATAAATGTAGTTGATTGTCATTTTTATTATTATTTTATCCTCTTTTTTTCTCTCTCACTTATTTTTTATTTATTTTTATGCAATTTGTGTAGTTTTGAGTATTTGAATGTATGCGTTAAGTGTTATATGTGAGGCACCATGACAGTTTAAATTAATTGCACCATGGAGATTAATAAAGCTTTAAACTACTTTTTGAAAAATAGTTGTTTAACTTTATTTTATTTTTATTTCAGTATTAGATTTAGTCATTTTAGTGCTTCAACTCATTTTATTTCCGTTAGTTGCCAGGCAACATTTCTAATTTTTTATCTAAGATTTATATATTTATTTATTTCAGCTTTATTTCAATTAACAAAACAATTTGAATAGGTTCAAATAATTGTAATAGTTTTAGTTTTAGTTAACAGCAAACACTGGCAGGAGCCATTTGTAATGCTTTTTCACAGGATGCTTTGTTTACACTGGAGAAATTAAGCGTTTCTCAATACCTCATACAAGTTCAAACTTGCGCCTTTGGTAGTTCGGACTTGGCAAGTTTGACTCAGGAATACAAACTCTGAGGACAGGAGGATGAAAGTTTCTCCTCCTCATTAAAATGTTACAAAATATATTTAAAAGCACATTTAACTGCTGTTTTAAAATTTTAATATAGAAATGATCTTACCTTTATGTTATGATCATATTTTTTGTTTGTATATCTCTATTACTGTCATTGTCATTAAAATTTGTTGATGTTATGTGAATGTATACATGTATGTGCAATGCATGTGTGTATTGTGTGTCTGTTATGGATATACACTCACCGGCCACTTTATTAGGTACCCCATGCTAGTAACGGGTTGGACCCCCTTTTGCCTTCAGAACTGCCTCAATTCTTCGTGGCATAGATTCAACAAGGTGCTGGAAGCATTCCTCAGGGAGTTTGGTCCATATTGACATGATGGCATCACAGTTGCCGCAGATTTGTCGGCTGCACATCCATGATGCGAATCTCCCGTTCCACCACATCCCAAAGATGCTCTATTGGGTTGAGATCTGGTGACTGTGGAGGCCATTTTAGTACAGTGAACTCATTGTCATGTTCAAGAAACCAATTTGAAATGATTAGAGCTTTGTGACATGGTGGAAGTAGCCATCAGAGGATGGGTACATGGTGGCCATAAAGGGATGGACATGGTCAGAAACAATGCTCAGGTAGGCCGTGGCATTTAAACGATGCCCAATTGGCACTAAGGGGCCTAAAGTGTGCCAGGAAAACATCCCCCACACCATTACACCACCACCACCAGCCTGCACAGTGGTAACAAGGCATGATGGTTCCATGTTCTCATTCTGTTTACGCCAAATTCTGACTCTAACATCTGAATGTCTCAACAGAAATCGAGACTCATCAGACCAGGCAACATTTTTCCAGTCTTCAACTGTTCAATTTTGGTGAGCTCTTGCAAATTGTAGCCTCTTTTTCCTATTTGTAGTGGAGATGAGTGGTACCCGGTGGAGTCTTCTGCTGTTGTAGCCCATCCGCCTCAAGGTTGTGCGTGTTGTGGCTTCACAAATGCTTTGCTGCATACCTCGGTTGTAACGAGTGGTTATTTCAGTCACTGTTGCCCTTCTATCAGCTCGAACCAGTCTGGCCATTCTCCTCTCACCTCTGGCATCAACAAGGCATTTCCGCCCACAGAACTGCCGCTCACTGGATGTTTTTTCTTTTTCGGACCATTCTCTGTAAACCCTAGAGATGGTTGTGCGTGAAAATCCCAGTAGATTAGCAGTTTCTGAAATACTCAGACCAGCCCTTCTGGCACCAACAACCATGCCACGTTCAAAGTCACTCAAATCACCTTTCTTCCCCATACTGATGCTCGGTTTGAACTGCAGGAGATTGTCTTGACCATGTCTACATGCCTAAATGCACTGAGTTGCCGCCATGTGATTGGCTGCTTAGAAATTAAGTGTTAACGAGCAGTTGGACAGGTGTACCTAATAAAGTGGCCGGTGAGTGTATGTATTCACTAGTTTGTTATTACTTTTATGTAGTAAAATGTTTTTTTATGTTCTTTGTTTTGATTTTATTGTAATTATGTCTATAGGTGGAGGCGTTAAATGAGCCCATTTGGGGTTTTTTGCCTCTTCCTGCACATCATATAAATTGATAATATAGATCTTATTTTGATTATATATTTTATGTTTTGTTTATTATTATTATTGTCATTTTCATGTAATTTTAAAGGTGCAAAATATAAATAAATAAAAATAAATAAACAGTTTGGTAATTCTGCGAATGGAACAGCAGCGTACTTGATAACGTCACTCACTTCGACTTGCTACTCCGGTTATCCTCACTGAATATTAACAATAAAACAAAATATGATATAAAACACCACCCTGCCTCTTTTGGGTTTCATTTTAAAAATATGAAACATAATAATGTGGTTCAGGCAATATGTGAAAATATGTTCTGATTATAAGCTGAGCGCTCGGTGATCGCCTGGATCTCACAACGTCAGATCACATTTTCAAACAGGCCACAGATTTGAGAAACTACATTCTTGCCTGAAAAAAACTCCTGTAAAACTACATTTTGTGACACGATAGCAGTATTTTTTTATTATATGAGTTTTCTCCTGGGCCAGTGATGCTTGCTGGTTGGTGCGAGACTCATTCTGGGATACCTGTCTTTCTCAAGTCCACACAAGTTCACCTCCCCTGATGCATCCTCGATAAAAGGGGCAGAGCAAGGACACTTGTTAAATGTGCTCCCTATACACAGAGTACGCGAATTCGATAGCATACTGATAGCGGCCATGATGCCGCAAATTGCGAGAGAACCCAAAAGCATTGAAATATATTTTTTCCCATCACCATGTCCCTTTAGGGGCTCCGTAGAATCCATCATTTCCTTTCCGAACATAGTATTCGGCTTCGGCACATAGTACAAATCATGAGATGATGTTATTGAAAACGCTCTTCTTCATTTAGTTGGCTTCCTCTTCACAGTTGCATACAACTTAATCAGAAAAGCCAAATAAAACATTACATTTTCCATAAATTCTGAGTAAATACAGAGACGAAACGCACCTGGCTGGACCGGCAGTAACAGGCCATAGATGCGTTCTCGTACAGGCAGATATAAGACGGCCTGCGGTGGTAACTCGACCTCATCCTCATCCTCCAATGAGTTACTGCAGTCCACGACTCCATCATACAACACGTTATAGACCAGGAAACACTCTGCCCGTGTGTGCTTCTCCATCGCTGCCTGCGACATGGAAACACTTAGTAAGAACAGAAACAAAGGCATGTTACTTCTGGTGTGTTTGTTCAATACAAGGGGGTCCAAAAGTCTCAGTGAAAAGGTTTCCATTTTCAATGTTTTTCAATACAAATCATATTATCAGAGTAAAAACTTCTAAACATTAACAAGTTTATTTGCATGTCCAAATTAGATTTTAAATCCCATATTTACAATATGGTCTCAAACACTGTGCATGTATCCTTCTTACCTGTAATATTTCACTGGGTACATACTTGTACCCAGAACGCACAGACTCAGGAAAGGGACGGCTGCACTTTAACCAAGGGGACGTTTGCCCTGGAAGTAAATATATGCGTATTCCCTTTTTTAAAGCTTCTTCCTCTGCTTCAACTAACATCAGTGTTTCCTCCCTGCTGGGATGATGAGCAGTAATGAACTCTGCAACAGCGTAGACCTTGTCTCCCTGAACTTGCGTGTGTTTATTTCGATATGACGCCAAAGCGCTGTTGCGAAGACGCTGCATTTGATGCTCTGGCACTATGTCATTACCCAACAGACAGGACAAGAGAGGAAGGTCAGTCATATGCAGCTTCAAAACTTGGCATAACCTCTCTCTGGAGAACTGAACTGTTGTCATGTTGTTTAAATTGAGTTTACTGATGGACAAGTATGGGGCTGTGTTGTAGATAACAAAGTCAGTATCTTGCCCAAGGATGCCCATGCAGCCGTGAGACAAAGCATAGTCGGAAATCTCATAATCTCCTTCTCGGACCGAGCATCTTGTTTCTTGACCAAGGCTTTTGAGGGCAAATCTGGAGAAGGTTGCGAGTCCAGAGGGAAGGCAGAAAAGGTCTCTGCTGTTTGGCTGCTCACCGTGAGTCTTAATGTGCTGAAATATTCTTGCTATGTCTTGGTTGACTCTCAGACGCCTCTTCACCCATTCTCCCCGCTTTTGCTCCTCGACCGTTCCGTCGAAGAAGAAGACTAAGCGTATGCCCGCAGCCGTGAATGCATCGACAAATTCTTGAAGGATATGCATATACTCTTGCCACTGACCACCATGAACCCAAGCTTGACAGCGATACCAGTATCTTAAACAGGCCATTCCATCCACTACTAGCGTGGCGGCGCTGTCCGGATGGGCTTTGGCATGATTCAATGCCATCTGTTTCAGGTCCACTGGCGCACAAGTGTCTGGGCAACATGTCTCCATGAAGTACTGCAATCCCTTCACACCCATGTTTAGCTGCGCAAAAAGGTCATCTGCAAGTTCATGCGCCTAAAATGAAACACAAAAATGCGTACATGAACATTAATGCACACTTTCATTCGATTTTCTCTCTTATGACAATGTAAAATCTCAAGTCAATCAATAGATAAAAATATACATTAAACTTTAAACATTAAATGTAGATGTGAATTTTTAAAGAAACATTAGCTACTAGATTTAGAACTACACACGGTCGATATTTAGGAAATTATTCATTTTCAATTATTCATTCATCATTATTCATTTATTCAATATATATTAAATGTCTTTATCCAGAGGGTAATTTCCATATTTCACCTGCTATGACTTCAACAACAAACCATAACATTTTTACTGAGAGTTTTAGAGGATTTTTAAATGTTCCCTCGTTTTAAGTAGTTCCTATTAGTACCTCAAAATTAAAATAGCTAATGCATTTAATAAATAATATGTTTATTTTATCAACACAAGATTTATAGTCTGAATCGACTAGAGACGATAAAGTAGACCATGCTAAAATCATTTTGAACCCATCCTGTAGTCTCAATCCGTTCATTCATTGAAGGGAATGCTAGATTTTCTAATATTGACAACACATTATATGCTTGATGTCTCGGCAATCAGTACCTGCGGACAGTTTAAGGGTTTTTATAATCTTTCTTAGTAGGCATTCTTATTTATTTTTTTCTTCACTCGTTATAATCATTTTGACTCCTGAGAAACATCAGGCCATTTGAATGAAACCCTTTACTGTGAGCACCTGTGTGTGTGAATGCTGGGAATTTTTAATGCTGCGTCGTTGCCAGTAAGGATATGGACAACTAGTATATTCGATCACTTAATGTCACAGATATTTAACCCAATGCTGCTAAAGAAACAAAAGCTGACTCACTATTCGTTGGGGCGTCACTCATAATATGACTAGAGTTGACTAGTTAGTTCGCGTTGAACGCTCTCTGGCGAACGGCTGTTACATGAAGCGACTGGAGAGTTTGTTTACAATGTTGCGCTCACTTCCTGTTCCGCCGATCTCAGCAGCCAATCAGCACATTCCTTTAATGATCCGAAATAAAAGCTAAAACATCGATTAGAAATCGCTGAATACTCTGGCCAGTAACACATTTTGACAAATACCTCTTCTTTTAGATTTACCTCGTCTTACTAGATTAGTAAGGTATTTAATTTAAATGAGAACTGTGTTTGTTAATAAAGAAATGTTATTCTGTTTATTATGTAAAGACTTAATATTGAATGAAAAAACACCCAGTATCTCTCCCCGTATTTAGTAGGCATTATTTCCCCTGTATGTTTTGCAAAATACATATTTTAAATACAAAAATATGCCGGCCATGAATGAATGGACACTAAAAAAATAAAAATAAAATATATAGGATAAAAATATATAGGATATATAGGATAAAAATAGCGAAAGATGACCCCACCTTCATCTTTTTCTCCTGACCATAGATGACACTTATGAATTATGATGAATGGCTATGCTATCTTTAATTTTGTCATTTCATCTGAATATAATTTTCATCTATGACCGTGTATTATGTTGAATATCAAAGTTTTTTGTGTCTATCTGTTAATGAAGGTTTTGTGGACACCTTCATGTTTTTAGATGTGTGGAGAATTGTCACACAAGGCCCCAAGTGGCAAGTTGTTACTAGTGTAATATTTTTTTATTTAATAATTTGTGGGGTTATTATTCAATATTTCCATAGATGTACATTTAAGACATATTCACTTTCATTAAAATCTGAAAATTTGCATTCATAGTGTTACTATTATGACATATTTTCAATTAAAATATGGGCAATTAAATAAGTAAATATTCATATGCCTGTATATAAGTCATAGAATAATTTTACCTTTCAGATGAGTCTCTTTTACAGGGATTCTGCTTTGTCTGTCATTGCGTTTTTAACTATTATCAACTAAATTGTCAAAGTAGGCTACATTTTTTGTACAGTTTATTTCGGTATTTTACATTACTGACACTTTGTTAAAATATATATAAATATTAATAAGAATTATGTCAAAGGTCTTTTATGGGTTGGGTTGGGTTGGGTTGGGTTTGGGGGGGGGGGGGGGCAGATATTTCATTTATTTCAGATAATAACAGATTGGATGATGCATCATCATCATCCTGCACATGCATGCCAAACTTATATCTAAAATAATTACAATTGAAAAGTAAATCCACATTCTTAAAGGGGCATCTTCCCCATTATATAAATTAGGGCATGCGGACCTATCCAATATGTCAATCCTTGAATGAGTTTCACAAACTGATAAAGAGGGGAAACTTAACTAAAATGATATTCATAATATAAAACTGTATTTATGTTTAGATTTTTTTCCTCTCAACTCTTCAGCTATTAATTATACCATAATAGAAACAACAGATGTGTAGTCACATTTGGCAGACGCAGGAATTCAATGTAGCTTAGATGAGCAGCACAAGTTTTTCTCTTTCGGGTGAACTATTGATTTTTTCTTCCTCTTTGAACCAAAGTTTCTCACATAAACAAAACCACCCCAGGGAAAGGGGCAGATGTTCCCTAAAGGACGACGGCACGCGACAGTCCTCGAGTCTGTTGAAGAATTCACCTCTCTCTCTCTCTCTCTCTCTCTCTCTCTCTCTCTCTCTCTCTCTCTCTCTCTCTCTCTCTCTCTCTCTCTCTCTCTCTCTCTCAGCATTTTCTCAAAATAGAATTTGATTCAAGTAATTAAAAAGTAACTTCCTACACCGGAAGCAGTTGATTCACAGTGCGTTTTATTGTTTCTTCTTGTTTTTTTCATAATAAGCGCGCCACCCGAGCCATGCACGCGACACATCCTTTGTTATTTTAATCAGCGCGAGTCCTTGCTGCGTCATGATGGGGGGATCTACTATCAATATATTGTATTGTCCTTTTCCTGAACACAAAATAAGGTTAAAACGAATTCACATGCTTGATGCCACAACACTTTCATATGGGACTGCGCCGTCTCATTCAGAGAGAGAAAAAAAAAAAATCAAACATTTGCGCTCTACTTAATTTTTGACGGATCTGCGCCGATTCGCAGACACTCTCCCACAAGCCGTTACTCTGTGTTCCCACGGCCACTTCCAGCAGCTTCCCTAACCATATGGCCCTTCAGCGGCATTCATGTGCTGCTTCTTTACATGCTTCCAGTCTCATTCGGAGGAAGCCCGCGTGCGCGCGCACTGTCCAGAGAGGCAGAGTGGAGACATGCAGTTGTGATGTGAAAAAACGCCATTTGGTTGGTAGCAGATGGTTGGCTTGGGGAGGGGGCTGTACGCGTCTTCAGAGAGAGTCCCCGAGGGCTCCCCTTGTATTCAGAATCAATGAAAATTAAAGCGCAAAGAAAGATGAAGAGTCAGAGCTCGAGTCCCGGCTTTGTTTGTCGCAGCTACTGGTGGGCAGGAGTTAAAGTACAACAGCCCCCTATAGAAACACTTAAGTTAAACAGTCTCCCCATAGTCCACCTTCAGAAAAGAGGAGGAATGCGAGAAAGGAGCTTTCTGCTTGATTTAACCAGGACAGAATCGCGTGGCATAAATTATGCTTGAAAAGAATAAGCGAAGTGGGCATAAATCTGAGGGTTTTCAGCATGCTTTTCAGTGACGCTTTGCTGGGCTAATCGGGAAATGTGTGCAACGTCAGGGCAAAGAATAGTGTGATGATAGCTGGGTGACACGGTTCCGCTCTTATTTACGGCCAGCGGTTCAATAACTCTCCGGAGTGTGATGCAATGACACCTGTCGCGCGATAACATCCCATCGCATCAGCAAACGCGTTCGATTAAACAATAATGCATGCTTCGAATAGGACTGAATTATTTTCTTCAGATCTGCTCATCTAGCTCCCTACAACGCGTAACTGTGCACGTATTGTTGCATTCCTCTGGATTTGAAAACCGCGAGCGCTTTTAATTAACGCACTAATGAAGACCACCCTCTCTCTCTCTCACACACACACACACAAACAAACGCTCACGAGAAAGAGCGAAAAGAGCGCGAGCGCGATTTTTTTAACAATATGAACGATTAAAAAACGCATTGGAAACTTCCTCGTCAAATTAAACGCAAAATAATTGATAAAACACCAAAACAACAGAAGCTGCTAGGTACTTTTGTGAGGGATGACGTGTAGAGAGGGGAGCTCATTCTCATTGTGAGGGGAGCAGGTGCTGTGTGAATTACCATACAGCTGAGAGCACAGAGAGAGAGAGAGAGAGAGAGAGAGAGAGAGAGAGAGAGAGAGAGAGAGAGAGAGAGAGAGAGAGAGAGAGAGAGAGAGAGAGAGAGAGAGAGAGAGAGAGAGAGAGAGAGAGAGAGAGAGAACTTATTCTCCCCACACACAATAACAAAGTGCCTTAATGACAGCCACGCGAACGACACACACCAGTTCAGCGTTTACAATCCAGATGGAAACTCGAACTTATAGAGTCACCAAAACTCAAACCACTGAAATGAAAGATGTGTTGTTAAAAAAAGCAAAGACGGTTCATAAGGATAAATATGTTCTCTTTGCATGACCTGATTATGCGAGGAGAATGGCGCCTAATTCGACTTGTAAAAATGTTGTCATCTAAACGGAAGTAAAATGCCACGGTAAAATTGGCCATATATTGCTTTAATTTATGGAGAAAATTAGAAAATCATCACAAGGTTAACTGATAAAAAAGTTTAGAAAAAATTAATAAGGAATGATGGTTTGACATTCTGTTGTTATTATAATGTTTTACAATAATAAACCTTTTACTAGCTCAAATATGTAATCATTTTTACCTGGTTACCAAAGTTACCTGGTTGCCTTAAAAATTTGAGTTCATTGAGATAGAAACTCAAAATATTATGTTAAGTTGATTGGACAAGATACAAAGTTTGAAAATATTTTTTTTTACAGTGATGAACATTACAACGACCTTTTTAACGAACTCAATAAATAGAAAAAAATGAAAAAGTTAGCACACATGTAATATGTAGCATACGTTTTAATGACTAATATAAGACAAAGATCCACTTTTCAGTCATATTGCAATGAACAGCCCAGAAACACCACAAACCCCGCTGTAGACTTATTTGTCCCGTTATCAGGAATGCGACATTCCTGCAATGTGTGATGTAATTTGTGGTTTTAGGTCAGAGTGGGATGTACAGGATTCTCAAGGTTGCTTATTTTCCTGTATGTAAATTATTTTTTTTACTCTCTCTCTCTCTCTCTCTCTCTCTCTCTCTCTCTCTCTCTCTCTCTCTCTCTCTCTCTCTCTCTCTCTCTCTCTCTCTCTCTCTCTCTCTCTCTCTCTCTCAGTGGCAAATAGTTGCACATTTTACAGCTCAGTGACCATTTGCCGATTTTTTTCTTCTTTTCTTGGGGAGGGGGGTTGTTGGGGATGGTGTGGATTGAAAAGTGTCCCTTTGTGACAACCAGAGCCAGATTGGGGAGTAGCTCATTTGCATCTCATTACCCTAGCAGTCTCTGCCTGTATATAACCGGCCGCAGGAGGACTGGGACACTAAACACGCACAATCCAGTCAGTCTCTCACATGGAAACAAGAGTATACGGGAGGAAAGTTTGGATCATTTCCACGCCAATTGTATAAACGGAAAATAAGATAAGAAGAACCCTGTTCCTGGGTTTTCTGCATTTCCCCCCCTGCTTCCTAAACTAAGTGGACTGCAAACTTTTGACAACTTGGAGTATTCGCCTTCTGAGGGAATTTGTTCGTCCCCGTTTTTTTTTTGCGCATCGGGGTTTCCTCTTTATATTCGTATTTGGGATTTAATTGCTTGATTTTTTTTTTCAAGGGAGACTTTCATGGGCTTGCATGAGCAGATAAAGTGAACGCAACAGAGCATCTGCCTGCACTGAGTGGAGAACTTCGAGCCTCAATGATTTATTGAGACACGGTCTCATACAATCGCCTGGCCCGTGGAAGCTTCACAACACAGTTCAGATCATCTCCACCATGGGACGACTTATGATAGCGGCTTTGC